CCCCCCCCCCCTGTGTACGCGCCTGTTCGCGTTGAAAACCAATAAGTGGTTAATCAATAAATAGGTGACAGACTTCCAAATCGCTCACTCATTGTCTTTTTATCTTTCTGTGAGAAAGGATCGAGGACCCCAAAGTCGGGTCGATTTCGCCACCTTCTATATAATTATAGCCCGTGAGCTAGAGAACATTGCTATAAGTAATTCTGGATTGTTTACAATGGTGTCGGGCCTACTTACCTTGATTTCATTATCTTTCTGTGGTCATTACTCAGCCCCAGGCGCGTACGCATGGGGAGGGGTCGAACGGTCGAACCCCCCCCCCCCTCTCAAATTTTGTTTAAATACATATAATATATATAATTTTTTTTAGATTATTTTTTTGGTAATAAAGGGTGACCAAAAAAAAAGGTGACCTTACCTCCCCCCCCCCCCCCAACTGAACAGAATATCGGTCGGCCCAATTTTCAAATTTTCGGGACAAAAAAAGTGCTCTAACACCCCCCCCCCCCCCGCTTATTCAACAGCTGGCTGAGTCGTTGCGAAATTTGTGGTGCAATTTTCAAATGTTAACCTTTAAAAAAATCCTGCGTACGCCCCTGCTCAGCCCCATATGTTTTTTTGGCACGTGTCATTTATTTGTAATCTTGAACATTCAGTGTAAGTTTTGTTGGATTCTGTGAGAATTTATTTTCAATCATTTCCAATTTTACTACTCAAGTTGTGGAACCTTCAAAAATGCGGTTCCGTTTTGGCTACTTGCAGTGCAACTATAGTGCTTCTGTTTGTTAGTTTTTTAATGTCCCTATTGAAAACTTTTTGACATACTTTTTCATAGACTATTTTGAAAAATAATTTCGTTTTAAAAACGTTTCGTTCTGGGCAGTATATAAAACTCGATCCATTCTGTTTCTTATTTATTTGTTTGACTGATTTGTTCGATTTTGGTCCAAGGTTTATTTGTTGTACATTTAGGGCCAGGGTGTATTGAGGACGAGTTTATTAAGGGTAGCGCGCTGTCTGGTCGATCGTTCTAGGTACCTTATGAATAAACATGACATTTTTCTGCCACGTGTCCAGTACAGTTTGTATGTAAATAATGTCATTCATATTCATGAGGTTCAACTGATCTTTGAATGAAAGGAGAGGTGATCATTTTACTTCTACTTCTATTCTACTACTTGTCAAAGCCTGTTCAGCATCTAGACAAGGGTGATCTTCTGCCGACGGTGGACGGCTTGTGTGAATTTGTGCCGAAATATATACATGTTTATGGTGCAAGTAAATTGATAAAAATATCATAAAAATCATAAAAATCATAAAAATTTATATATTTTTCAGAGCCTTGTCTACCTAAACCACGGGTGGCCAACCTTTTAAAGCTCGCGGGCCACATCTAACGATTGTCATAACTTGGCGGGCCGTAGGCCAGGCGGGGGGGGGGGGGGGGGGGGGGGTAATCACATATTGAGACATACGGGGTGTGCCGCTCTAATGGGTAACCTTTTTTACAAAAAGAATCCCTAAACTTGGGTCCCATTTTTAAACAGAAATATCCTAAACATGGGTCCGTATTTTCAAAAATTTATTTTATAAAAATTCAGGGTTTTAGCCATGCAAACACCCGAAATTTTTATAAAATGGGCTTTACTTTCAACAAAAATCTGCCAAAACAAGGCAACCCTTAAAAATGGGTAGAGGTTACGAGGCTTCAGCGGCACACCCCGTAAAAACCAAATCTGAAATCCCCCCCCCCCCCACACCACACACTCATGTACACACCTGCAATTTTACAAACAACAAAATCAGTCGAACAAAATCAGGCATACTTTTTAGTGTGATTTCTGGCTAACAGAATTTGAGGCAAAGTTGTTTACCTTTCTCTTCTATGAAGAAATACTTCAGAGATAATCCGATTTAAAGTTTCTGTCTTCATCAGAAACTTTCCTTTTCTTCGCACGTCTCGAAATCGATGCCATGTGGTTGTTATTTCAAAACAAAATCAATGACACAGCAGAAAGAATATAAGGGGACTATCCACGATTAGGATTAATGAAAAAATTATACGGCGGGAGAAAAGGGTTGTAAGTTTTAAGACAAGTATGGCATTTCAAAACATATTTCTTGATTCACGATCGATTGGGCAAAAAGAATTTCCATTTTCGGTTTAACCTGATAAATTTGGAGTGGATTTTAAAAGATTATTATTATTGTTATTATTTGTATATTTACAAAGGTTACTGCATGTGGAAAATAACAAACTGAAATTAACACGGCGAGTGATGTTAATGTCGTTAATGTAATGTAATGAGAGGGAATTTGAGGAGTTTTGTATAAGCCACGTAACGAATCAATATGTTGTGAATGATGATGAAAACAAATTATGGAAATAGAGATAGCTGTTGGTAAATGTTTTACTCTATTTCATCGCTGTTATGCGGGCCGCATTTCATTCATTAAGTATTTTTATAATTACTTTTCAATGCTCCGCGGGCCGCACAAGAAGAGCTCGCGGGCCGCATGTGGCCGCGGGCCGCAGGTTGGCCACCCGTGACCTAAACTCATCCAGAGGTGGGCCCATGTTCAAACCTCCATCACGGATAATGCTTAGGCTTGGAGTCTCTACAAACACGCGACACCCTTCTGGGTGCATGGGGTGCAGCCGGGGCAGAGTTTTTGAAGGATGCGATCGAAGCCCAGAGACGCTATCGAGTTTTAGCAATTCAGAACATTCAAGAGTGTCTTGGGCGGTAGAAACACACACTCATTTACATCAGAATAGATCAATACAAAAAATACAGTGAAAGAAAATTAAGGACATTTTTATACAACTGTGTGAGGGTAGTCTTGGGAACCCATTCTCTTTACAGATGGGGATCATGGGGTCCAGGGGCCCATGACGGGTTGCAGGACAGTGTCCCTGCCAGAGGTCCAGGAGGCAAAGCCCCGAGAATTTCTTGATTTTAAGAAATTCAGAACCTTCAAGATATTTTTGGAATTTTTTTTTGGTCACCCCCCCCCCCCTTGCAAAAAGCTAGATCCGCCCTGTTATTAAGCATAGCTTGCGGTGGGATCTGGTTTCCATCAAAAGGCTTGTAGCCGAATCGTTACTCAGCTAGTAGAGATTTTTTTATATAATTATTTATAATTGTTTTGTGTTTCCTCCTCCTCCCTCTCTCTCTTTCTCTTTTTCATTTATACTTTCTTTTCTTCTTTTTTTCCCCTTTTTTTTCATCCGCTCTCTCCCTCCGCGGCCTAAGGGGGGGGGGGGGGGGTGGCGGCGCGGCCGATACGTCCCCCCTCCCCCCCCCCCCCCCACACCCCACCTGGATCTGCCACTGAACTGCGTGGATCTTGACCAAAATTATGCAGGCCTGTGTGTTTATATCTGACGTTTCATGTACAAGGGGGGGGGGGGGTGTACAGGCCTAACCTATTTATTCTTTCTAATGAAAATAACTGATATTTATAGCAGAGTCGGATCTAGGTAAAATGCACAATATTAGTGGCCTATTCGTTTGTTTCATAAGGCCGCAGTAGTCTAAAAAAATCCAGCCCATGGAATAGGGGGGGGGGGGGATTCATTTTTTCTTTTCTCTCTATGTTTTTAATTTTATGTAGAAAATATCTTAAAAATTAAAATAAATAACACAGGGTGTAGTAACTCCTTGCTGACTCTAAACCAATGAACCCAAAGAACCGATGAACCACGCCCCCAAGCCCTGTCAACCGTTACTCTAATAGTAGTCTGTATACTAAACGTAGTAAAACTGTTGGCTAAAATGAAAAGCGTTTTTTTTTTTTCTTCTTCAGACCAGAAATGCACACCTTAAAATCGGTGAACACAATCATATTTAGAAGAATTTTTAAAAAAATCCTCTAAGTTCCTGATTTGAGCACGGTAGAAAATGCCAACATACTGAACTTAGGCTTAGCGCAACCTACAACTTGCACGTAGACTAACTGATTACTACATAACAAAAAAATTGATCAAACAATACATGCACGTGGTGTATGCATTCGACCGCATAGGCCTATACTATGAGTATGAATGGCATGCGCCGCACCAACAGCACTAGCTGAATCTGAACCAGCTAACGAAAACGTACCTTTACTTACCGAATATCCTGCTTATGACCGCCCTGCACTTGGTAAGATGACCACTAAGGAACCACTGGAGTTAAGTGGATCAAACGGACACAGGAACGATAGTGAAATGGAATCACCTAAACCGGTAAGATCTTATCAATTTTTACGTAAAAACAATGTAGGTTTTTGTTATGTAATTTGATTCTTGTCTTGGTTTAATACTACATTCATGTCATGAAGGCCGCAGTGTACATAGTACATGTACATGTACTTCGTATCAATTTTTGACCCGTTACTCCAGCGTAGACGGGTAGAGATACCCTACTAAACTAAAACATTGCAAAAATTAACTAAATCTTCAACAATTGCTCAAAAAATGGTCATGATTTAAAAGTCGTTAGCATGATATGATACCTGTTTGTTTCGTGCCCATTTTCTTCTCTCTTTTCACTTTGGAGTTTTGGAGTTGACCTCTATTTTTCCTATAAAAACAAGATTAGACCTAGAGTCTATATTAATAATGCACTTTCTCACAGGTTTCACGGCAAACAGAGAAGAAGGATATCGTCCGCAAAAACGAGGATTCACTTTGTAAACGCGGATAGATGCGTCAACAAAAAGAGGATCGTCTTTGTAAACGCAGACAGTAGACGCGTCCTAAAAAAAAGGGATCGTTCGCATTTGCGCAGACCTTTCAAATTTCTGATTCGCGTGTTGGCGATGCGACGGACACCCATAAAAGTAGACGGTGAACTAGGGTTATTTTCTTACGCGGTGAAAAAAACTTCTGCGAGAACGCGGACGATCCTTATTTTTCAGGATGCAATTTCAAGAATTTGTCTGCATTTGTCAAAGGTATCCTCGTTTATGAGGACATGCAGTCCTCATTCTCGGACCAGCGCCCCTACCGCAGCAAACTGCTGCATATATGCAATTCCAATACAATTAGATACCGTACCAACAAAGAATTGCAGGCGGGCGCGAGTGCGCATGAAGTTAGCGACCGTAATAATGATCATTATCATCATAATGTGAATTACTTGCATGAATTCTGTACACGTTGACGTAAATTTGGTATACAGTGTAGCAGCAACTCAGCTGTCAATAATCTTCATTGATAGGTTGAATGGCCAAAGTGAAACCTTGAAGAAAAAGAATTATTTTGTTTCAGAGCATTTTAATATTGAAGAGTCTATTTTTTTTTAGTACAACATTGAATTAACATGAATTTTTTTTTTTCACCTTGTGTGGCATTCAGGGAAAGGTTACTGGAACATTGGCCTTGGCCTGTGCAGCGGCAGTATGTGGCTCCTCACTTCAGTTTGGGTACAACACAGGTGTCATCAACGCACCACAGAAAGTAAGTATCGATAATTATGAGTCAAGCCACAGAACTAGAATTCCAGTTTGTTTTTGGTTTTTTTGTAATGGCAATCAGTCAAGAACTGACTCACCAACGCCTTTCTTTTTAAAGGCACACTGTCCTACTTGTAGCTACTTGCTCCCTCTTAAGAAAACTTCCCCAATCGGTGCCTGTTGGTCCCCCATAATCCTCTTTTTCTTATGTTGAATGAGAGCTGAGTTAATGAGATAGTCACCTGTCACAGTAACCTCGCTGGCTCGCTGGGCAGTCTAATCCCTTCTGCATGGGTGTCGATCCTTACGTAATACCTATTCATCAGGGGGGATGAATGAATAGATCATCCTCCCCCCCCCCCCCCCTGATGAATAGGTACAGTGTATCAGTTACAGATCGACACCATGCCCTTCTGGCTGAAGTAGTAAAGTCTACCTTTAAAGCTTATCTGATGTAGTTTACAGGAGGGATTAGACTGCCCTGCAAGGTCATTAGATAGGTGGTTATCTCACCAACTCAGCTCTCAGTTAACATAAGAAAAAGAGGATCATGGGGGACCAATGGTCACCGATTAGGCATGGTTTGTTATATAGAGGGCGCAAGTAACTACAAGTAGTGCAGTGGGCCTTTAATATTGATTTCCTTCTTTCTCAAATATATTTTATGTGGATAACAGTATAACAAATTACATACATGTAGGCTTCTCTCTCTTTTTTTCTCCCTTTTCCATTCCTATCAGTATCTTTTTAATTCGACATACAATGTAGATCCTAGTATCTCGGTCGTAATCGACGTTTTATATGTACCTTTTCTTTTGCCCGCTCTAGTTTGGAATTAAAGGTTTGTGCTTAAAGGATTAAAGGATTAAAGGATTAAAGGATTAAAGGATTGTTTTGTAGTGTGTATTGGGAGAATCTTGCCATCTTGATTGCCACAGCTCGGCCACATCGTGATTTTGTTTATAGAAATCAAGAAAACCATTGACAAAAGGAAGTTACATAATTCAAAGCTTTCCCCATGGTCGATAGTTGTGTAATGAACAATAAAATTGAGTATAATTGGGCATGCGATTACTTTGTGAAAGAAACTATAGAAATTTATGGGAGAAATTGGAAAAAGTAAGTTATGTAATCTAAATCTATAGAAGTTGGTGTATAGGTTTTGGATTTTGGAATGTCCAAGATGAACAGAAACTGACCACTCTTGCTACATTTACGTGTACATGTTTGTCACATGTTTGAACCCCACACAGAAATGAGTTCATGTAAAGGGAATACACCCACATGAGGAATGAGTGTTTGGTCCAAAATTTTCATCTAATCCCGTCCTATTTTTAATAAGAGGGCATTTGAAGAGCAATTTAGGGGACATTTCTACCACGGAACTCTTCCTAAATCTTCACAAATTATTTGTTATCTTTGAACCAGAACTTGACTTCTCATAGTATTGTGTACACTGACTGCCACATAAAATTCAGTATCGTCTGGACATGGCCCACAAGTCCAGCATTGCATTTTATGACCAGTCATTTGTAACTATTCTCTTGCCTTATGTTCACAGTTTAATCATAAAAAGGTTTTCTATATAATATGCTCTTTGACCAAGTAAGATACCAACTACAATATTCTCCTGTAGCTATATTCTCCTCTTTTGAAGATGAGGAGAGGGTACTTCCATTTCATACAGTAAACAAAAAAACTAAACACCATTGTGTCCATTACATGTACAAGGCAAGATTGCTTGATGATGTTTCCATTTGTCCATGAGGACAGGGGCTCCTTAAAATTGCACTACTGTAATTGAATGCCAGGTATTTTGATTAATATGCTTACTCAATTTCTTCTCAGTTCTGTCATGGTTTATATACAACAAATAATCAAATGGCAATGAAAAAGACCAAGGAATCACTGAAGCTGGAGAAGATGATTTTGTCTGAAGTAATTTTATTTGGCATTTTAGCGTCTGCATTGCCTTACCTTATTAAATATGAGAAGCTCTTGGTCATGCAGTTTGATCAAGTAAGAACTGAGATACAATCCTCTATTCTCCCCGTCTTGCGAACATGATGAAACGGCTCTTATATATTTGACTCTATATTTCTGCTACGGACACAAATCATGGTGTTAAAGATGGTCCTTTTGTCCAAGCAAGGCAAAGGCTCAAGAAAATTCAATTCACACTTATATCAGTGATTTTGATTAATTTGTTAAATTTCATCAGCTACTTCTTTACTTCATGTTTGATTAAAAATTATAGAAGTAAAAGAAAAAGAAGAGGCGTTTAAATGAATGGCAGCTACGTGTACACCTGTACGTGAAACAAAGGTCCTGCATGTATTCAGTGAGATCAGAAATGTGGAGCATATATACCCTTTAAAGGTACTATGTCCCATTTGCACGCTAAAAATGAAAAAGTTAAATTCCAACTGCATTTGATAGATAATACTAATTTAGAACTTCCCTAAAAAAGGTGGGGCTTGAAAATGTCTTCAAGTGGGAAAATAATGACTATTAGTTGTCAAATCGACTTTAGGGCTATAGATCCCAAAAGTAATAGTCATGATGAGTTTCAGACAATTGTACCGAATGGTCATACGTTTTATGCTGCGCAAAGATTCAATCAGTTTAATCTTGGCCATCACAAGAAGTGGGTTATTGATGTAGACAAATGCTCATGTACCCTTTACAACTCTTTTCATGTATGTTATTACCAAAGAAGAAAAAAAGCCAGTCAGTCACTCAATAGTGTCTGACAGTGAAGTCTAGCAAGTAAACAGGTTTCCTTGCGTAATTTGAATATGAGGACACTGACTGCTAACGTTTAAATTTCACAGATAGGACATACATGACATATATTCATAATTCCTGCCATGGTATCTTTAAGTCATTGAAAAAAGCAGCGTTTTTGTTGCGTCATATCTGAACAAGGCTTAACAACACATAGAAGTGGGCTCTCATGGGGAATTTGACACCCTGTTAGAGTGTTTAGACTGTTTACCCAACAACAGGTGGTATTATTGTTGTGTTGCCGGTACATGTAGTTGCTATGCAAACATCAGAATTTGAGAAAAAATAATGATTTTTGGTTGCAGTGTGAATGCAGCTAATGAATCTAGCGTGGCTCGACTTGGATCAACTTTAATGAGAAGCTATTGGTCATTCTGCTCTTAAAGGTACTATGTCCCTTTTGCAGCCAACCTCAAATTCTGTAGAATTTATGAATATGTCGTGTATGTCCTATCTGTGAAATTTAAACGTTAGCAGTGTTCAAATTATGCAAGGAAACCCGTTTACTTGCTAGACTTCACTGTCAGACACTATTGAGTGACTGACTGGCCTTTTTTCTTATTTGGTAATAACATACATGAATGAGCATTTGTCTACATCAATAACCCACTTCTTGTGATGGCCAAGATTAAACTGATGGAATCTTTGCGCAGCATAAAACGTATGACCATTCGGTACAATCGTCTGAAAATCAAGACTATTACTTTTGGGCTCTATAGCCCTAAAGTCGATTTGACAACTAATAGTCGTTATTTTCCCACTTGAAGACATTTTCAAGCCCCACCTATTTTAGGGAAGTTCTAAATTAGTATTATCTTTCAAATGCAGTTGGAATTTAACTTTTTCATTTTTTTGTCCTGCAAATGGGACATAGTACCTTTAACCTTCTCATTAGTACTGTCCAAATATGAAAAAAGATCATTATTCATAGCTGATTAGCTGTACATGTACATGTACATGTGCTTTTTGGTCAAGTAAGGTCCAAGCTACAAAATATCTTTGAAAATAAGGAGACGGTTCTATGATATTTGACTTTTTTTGCTGCACCTACAAATCATGGCGTTAATTTCAATACACGTTGGTTAGCTTGATAGTGGTTTATACATGTATGTCTGAGCATTACAGAGGCTTTTCACATTTTGCTGATATTATTGATTTTGATTTATTGATTGGATTTCTTAGTGCCGAAATACTAATTAAGATTCTCCTTTATTTTGTGTTACATGAACAAAAAAATGGAAAAGAAAAGGAGAGGGAGGTTCGAATATTAAAGGAAGCAGGCAGGGACAAGAAACGATGAATGAATTTTGGTTGACTTTGTTTAGCAGTGAAAAATTAAATGGATGAATTATGTATCAAAGGAAAGCTAATAAATAAATCATAGATTACAGTGATATCAATTATTAGTGTCTGTCAGAGGAGTATAAGCTCTCTAAAAACTTGAAACCTAAAGCTTAGAAAATAAGAAGTTATTGACCTAAAAAAACTAGCTGTTGACTTAATGACATCATCTTATGTAAAGTATACATATTCACAATGACTTGCATTATTGAAGCACAGCTCATCGCGTCAGCTACATGTATGTAGGCGAAGGAAACTTGGAATCAATTCTACTCGGCCTTATTTTCTTCAACTTGGCCAATAGACCATTTTCGTAATGTAACCAAATCTACATATGTCTTTGTGAAATGCCTCAATACGAATTATAATTATATATCATTCATCTGTTAAGAATAATTGTATTTCAATCAATGGTCAGAAGGCAAACTGCATACATTAATTGTGTTGCCAGGTTGGACAAACATTAATACTCCTTTCACACTGGTTTTGCTTAACCACGTACTTTGCTTAGCCCCGTACTATCCTTAACCCGGACTATTTTTTTTGGCTTTTCTCACTGCAATTCCTTAGCCCAGTACTAGCGATGGCCATGGAATTCATTAATTCGCTTCACTGCGTAGTCCCGGACTATTTTTCGTTTCTGTTCTCATTCATTTGCTTGGCACCGCAATTGCGGAGTTAGCAGGAGTTAGCACCACAATTGCGAGGTTAGCCCTGCTATTTTTCAGGGTTAGTTAACCCCGTACTATAGGTGGGGTTAGCCCACTTTGGTAAAAAACGAGTCTGAACAGAAAGTGGAATAGGCTTAACCCCGGACTATAGGTAGGGCTAAGACCCCCCTTTAACCCCACCTATAGTACGGGGTTAAGCAAATTTTTGCCAGTGTGAAAAGAAAGTGGAATAAGCTTAACCCCGTACTATAGGTGGGGCTAAACCCCCCCCCCCTTTAACCCCATCTATACATGTAGTACGGGGTTAAGCAACATTTTGCCCGTGTGAAAAGAAAGTGGAATAAGCTTAACCCCGGACTATAGGTGGGGTTAAGATACCCTTTAACCCCATCTATAGTACGGGGTTAAGCAAAATATTGCCAGTATGAAAACAGTAATAGGCTTTCCCTGGCTAACACATAATATAGCATTTTGTATTCTGATCGTTGAAATACAAATTTTATTCATTACAGGTGAATGATATATTTTAGTTTAGTTTAGTTTGAAGTTTATTATCCAAACAAAAAGCACATCAATATTTATAACATTCAAATGTGAATGTTTAACTTGAAAGGACAAATATGAGGCACTGCACAAAGACGTACAGTAAATTTGGTTCCATTTGCGAAAATGGTCAATGGTGAATATATGGTGTGGGTTGATAGAATAGCTGAAGTGCTCTGTCACTTCACTGTCCTTGAAGCTTAGAAGTATCTGAGCAGACAACTGACTTCTCATTAGGCGTGTCTGCACTATCTCGAGATTGCCAAATATCCAGCTATTTGAACTATCCCGATCGCAAACTATCCAGCTAATTTGCGTCTTCATTAGACCGAAGTAGCAAATTAGCTGGATAGTTGGTCGGGATAATATCCCAAGATATCTCAGTCTAGTTTGCGGTTTTCCGTGCTTACTCGAGGTCAGTGGTTGTACTAGCGCGCTGAGCGGTATAGATCGCATGTGCGAACCGGAAATCGTTGTGCATGATGGGATCGGGATATTTGACTCCGGACTTCGGTCTAATGAAGACGGTCGCAAACTATCCCGCTAGTTCGGAAATAGTGGGATATTTTGCAAACTAGACCGAGATATCTTGGGATATTATCCCGACCAACTATCCAGCTAATTTGCTACTTCGGTCTAATGAAGACGCAAATAGCTGGATAGTTTGCGATCGGGATAGTTCAAATAGCTGGATATTTGGCAATCTCGAGATAGTGAAGACGGGCCTACTGAGGTATTTAGGGGATATTGAGAGCAGACAATGACATAAAGGAAGAACAGACAGTGGGGTTCACTTAAGAGAGAAATTCTGATCGTAATTGAGGATGAGTGAATGTGGAAGAAAATTCTCATCTACATACCATAGACCTGTTTAAAGATTACATCATACAATTGTACTTTGTAATTGTAGGGCGTCCTTCTCAATGAGCTACATGTAAACCCACCTACATGTACATGTAAACCCAACTCTGGGTGTAAACTCATGTTTAACATAAGGAAAACTTATGTAACTATTAAACTTCCTTTGCTAAACCAGAAAAAAAAAGAAAAACCCTAAACTCTGCGTCTGGTTTCAATTTTCATTTTAAAAAAATGTAGAAAACTCTAACATTCCTTTTTAGTAGGAAGCCCGTTTGTAGTGCAGTTTTGATGATGATAAAACCAAAGTAACATCAGAAATTTCAAAGGAATTCCAGCCAATGATACATCAGGGCTGACACGAGCAGGCACCGGGGATGTATGAGGGCTTTAAGTCCTGGTCTGGACTCACAACTTTCAAGATTTCTACACATTGGGCTCATTATACAAAAAACATAAATTCAGACCTCTTCCAAAAAAAAACCCCAAAACATTGTCTCTCTTTATTAGTCAGATCTAATTTCAAAATTCCACTACATCTTTAGTGCATCAATATTTGTTTGGACTTTGGGAAACAATAGATTAGGCCTTTATTTTGTCAACAATAAAAGTATCAAGTTGTAGGTACAATGTATGAAAATATTATGATGCAATTTCCCTTTTTTTAAACTCTAGATCTCAACAACAAATCAGCTTAAGCGATTGTTGTTAAATCTAGAGTTTTATTTACATGAAACTCATGAAATTTGCTCAGTACATAGACTAAACACATCCTCAGCTAAGGGGTCAGACAGATATTGAACTCATATCCTTTAATCTCCAGCAGAATGAAGAAAAAATGTACACTGGAACAGAGAAAGATGTGTATCTCTGAAAAGCTCAAGATTTGTGGAGAAAGAAAGCAAAGTACATACCTGTACATGTACATACATACTAGTAAATACTGTGAGCATATTGTACCTGCACAAATATACCGAAAGAGCTTTCATGCACAAAGATACAAGCACATGTAGTTTGTAGCCCCCGGCAAAAGAGGAGAAAAGGATCCTGTAGCATAGAATGTTTTATCTTGGAACATAACTCTAGTTCTGGTTCAAATTTCTGTATTATTTATTACATGTATGGACAATAAAACTGGAATCTCAAATCTTGAAAAGCAAATGCCTTTTTCTATTCAGTAGATATGACAAAATTGTTCTATTATGATGGTTATGCCAAAAGAGTTCACACGTACAAAAGAAAGTCTGTTTTGTTCAATGTTGGCTTCTAGCAGACAATCTTACCAACCACTTTAATGTACCAATAATAGAGAATACAATTATTACCAGCATATTTTCCCCCAGTACAACACAACATACCACCTACCATATTATATGGTACAACAATAAATCTCGAAAAATCAACATGTTTACGCAGAATCATTAACCATTATGCATGAATTATAGATAAACAGTAGTCGGCATCAAATGAAATTAATGAAAAAAAAGGCACCTACATTGGGAAATCTCAAAGCGAAAATATACCATTTTTTAGACATTGGTATATACCCCTACATTATCAGGGATGATTTCATTATTTAGTTTCTCTTCATACATCATACAAGATATCGCTTATGCATCATACTGTACCGTTGGGTGTGATGTATGAATATGCATTTACGAGCGAGCGAAGCGAGCGAGAAAAATTTTAAAGATCTGTGAGGTCGCAGTGCAAAAAATTACATCTTATAAAGAGGACAAAAGCCAATCGTGATGGGGTTATAAACACATTCTCATAACGGAAGACTGAAAAGACCTTTGATAAGTAACATAATTATATCATCTTTAAATGCGAGCGAGCGCAGCGAGCGAACTTTGGGGGAAATAGCTCTTAGTCGCTTAAATAAGGGGCACGTTTAATGATTACATGAAAAGGGGGCAATTATCGAAAGGGATAAGACACTTATTAGAAAAGAAAAGGAGCACGTGTCAAAGTACAAAGGATAATTATAAGAGGTGAAAATGAGGCATTTTTTCACCTGAAAAGAGGCACTCACCAGTGATGAAAAAGAGGCGTTTACGAAAATGGGAAATAGGCATTTGTTGACGGAAAAGGGGCAGCCATCAGATTTTGATAGGGTCATTTATAAGTAAAAGGGGCACGTATCATTATTAAAGGGGAATTATCAGAGGTGAAAAGGGACACTGACCAGATATAAAAAGGGGCACTTATGAAAATGTAAAAGGGGCACTTATTATAAAGGAAAATGTGCATTTGTTGAATGAGAAGGGGGCACTTATTAGAAATGGAAAGGGGTAGTTATGAGAAGGGGAAGGAGCTCTCTCTTTTTAATGGGGGCACTTATCATAAGAAAAAGGGGCACTTATTAGAAAATAAAAGGGGCACATATTAAAATGAAAGATGTGCTCATCCGAGTTTAAAAAAGGGGTAGTTATTAAAAGGAGAAGGGGCACTTTTTACAAAGGAAAAAAAGGGGCAGTTGTCAAAGTAAAAGGAGCATCTCTCAGTTTTGAATAGGGCAATTATCAGAGGTGAAGGGGGCACTTATCAAAATTGAAAAGGGGCACTTCTCGTACCTGAAAAGAGGCACTTACTTAGAGATTAAAAATGGCACTTATTCAAGATAATTTCAAGATTTATGAGAATGGAAAAAGGACACTTATTGCAAAGGAAAATGGGAACATGTCGAAGGAAAAGGGGCACGTGTCAAAAATAAAAAGGGCACTCGTTAGATGTGAAAAGGGGAAGGGGCACGTTTACTAAGTAATAGGGGCACTTGTCAAAGTAAAAGGGACACTTCTTACAAAATAAAAGGGGCACTTTTCCTATGTAAAAAGGGGCATTTTTGGGGTATCTAAAAAAGTACAATAAATTGTACTTTACCCAATGTAAATCTCTTTCTATATATATACATGTATGCTAAACAAGTACCGGTAGTTGAAATAGTATAAACATGTATGAAACACTTGTACTTGTACGAAATAAAATTTGTTGGAAAAGAATTTTCTCTTCCATATTTCATGATTTTATCAAACACCTGTGTAGAAATATATAATTTCCACCTGACCTTAATTAACTCCCATTTCAATTCAAAGTTATCTTGACATCCACTTAACATTTGTGAAGGATTCTTTATCACAGTCCTAAAGTGTTACAATGATCTATGTACCTGAATTTTTTTTCCCCAGGTCATAGAAGCGTTCATCAATGAGACAAATTTCAAGCGGACTGGCGAGTCTATGGGGCAAGAACAGGTCACTTTCATCTGGTCAACGGCGGTGGCCATCTTTGCGGTAGGAGGCATGGTGGGATCGCTATCAGCAGGATTCTTTGCTAACTATCTTGGGAGGTGAGATATGAAATTCAATAGACCTTTTAGTATTTTTATGCATGTTTTTACTGATGAATTGCCATTTGGTCTACAACCAGTTCGTCTACTCATCATTTGGTCTACTGACCATTTAGGCTAATAGTCATTTGGTCCAATTTCCAATCGGTCCAATCTCCAGAAAGTCTACTACAGATTTGGGCTATCACTCATTTGGTCTAATTGCCAGTCGGCCTTATTGCCAGTTGGCCCAATTCCAAGGTTGTATAATGCCCATTTAGTCTAGTAAGTCTACTATCCATATGGTCTAATAATCATTTAATCATAACAAATTATAATCGTTGATTGATTATTAGCCTGTTTGGATTGTAGACTATTTGAATGGAAGTCGAACTAGGTGTAGACCAAACATTTTAACCTTTCTCTCCCTAACCACTTGTTAATACCAGTCATTTCCTTTTCTTATTCCTTGCCTGATTTTGCTCAATTTTCACTGAATTTATTCAAATCTTTTATACTTCACAATAAGAGTATAGTTAGTATGAAGATTTTTGGTACCCTTTAAAGATGAAGTTGAGTTGTGGTCATGCGATTGCATTATGAAAGAAACGGTGTGGAACCGACCAGAAAAGGTTGATCATCTAACATATAAGAATGTGTGTATATTGCAAGGTTCTGGAATCATCAAAATGATAAGAAATCTGGCCAAGTCTTGGTAAAGTTACAAACACTTGCACAGAAAGATGTATATGGGACTACACGAACATGCTGGCGTAAAAAGCCGGCCCCCCGATTTTTACGATGTTACATGCATATTTAGAATATGAAGGCATTTGAAGAGCCATGCTTTTCAGGGAACATGTCTTAACTGATGTTCTTCCACACTTGCATAATAAGAATGAGTAATGCTCACATATTATTTTTCACCTCTTCCCAGAACTCAACCTTCTTTTTAACTCTCCAAACATTGTATCTTTCTATTCATATAATTAACACGACCACATATGCTGTGTAATGGGTCAAGCCTGGGTGGGGTTGAACCAGGGCTCAAATTATTTTTTGTCCACGGGGGCTCTTAACCCCAAAAAGAGCCCCCGTGAGCCTTCTCACTGGGGCTCTTTTTTATACAAATATCCATTGAATTGGTACCTATGATACTCCTCAATTATTTGCTATTTCATCATTATCATTTTCCCTCTTACAAATTTATAAGCTACATAGCTGTTACTGACTTTCATCCTGTGAAGACATTCTCTCGATTTTTTTCCCGTTCTGCACATTATTTCCTCCTCATTATTCGGAGCAACCTTTACATTCTTTCTTTACTGAGCCGCATAGCGGCGAGGCGATTTTGTGTGTGTGCTATTTTGTAAATAAATAAAAGGATTAAGTGACAAATAATGATTGTGATTCAAATTGATGCGAATATTTGTTTGAATAAGCACTGCTATTCACCCGAATCTTCTTGGTAAAAACAACTTTTACAAATCTCAGCCATGCTTACTGAGTTGAGACGTTCCATTCAATGTAAAATACTCATTAAATAATACACTTCTCCTAATCTGAAAGTGATCTTACAACACAGTGGCAGATTTGCATGGCTGAGATTTTTAAAAGTCGTTTTTACAAAGAAGATTCTGGTGAAAAGCATTCCTTATTCCAAAAAATCCTTGCATCAATTTGAATCACAACGATTATTTGTCGCATGATGCTTTTATTAAATAACCTTTTTTTCTTTTTTGTTTGCAGGGGGAGAAGAAGCTATGTCACGTTAAGAAATCATAAAGATCAGTTGTATTATGCGTATATACATATGATACCAGAACAAAATGTTAATTATCAGAATGTCATTTTGGAATACCTCTTTACAAATACCACATTGTCTTTATCCCGTATCAGTATTAGTATAAGCCAATATAAAGCTATTATTCTTTATTCAGTTCAGTATAATGCTTTTCCTCACAAATAGTTTCGCTATTTTTTTAGGGTTGAGACGCTAATAAATGGTTTCAAATGTACATTACACAAACCCTGAACCATTGCAAAATGCTGGTGGTTCTCTCTCTCTCTCTCTCTCTCTTTCTCTCTCTTTATTTTAATCATTCATTATCAACTACATATAAAGCATAAATATAAAACTACCCCAAAAACAAATTTATGTGCATTTATCCAGCCCAGATTTGGGCCCCCCCTCCCCCTCTTGCCGCCGGCTGGATCCGCTCCTGATTTTGGACCCCCGTAAGTGATGTTTTCCTGGCATCTACTTACATGCGAAGCATTGTCCACGAGCCGCATAGCGGCGAGGCGGTTAAACCCCCTAACCCCCCCCCCCCCCCCCCCCCCCCCCCCCCCCCCCCGTAGATCTGCCCATGTTACCATATCATTCCACGACATCTTGGTCTTCCTCTTCTTCTCAATAGGGACTTTTAGATTTGCGTGGACGTGTTACGTCCTTTTAAGGCACTGGCAGTCACATGTGACGTCCTTTTAAGCACTGTCAGTGCCTTACAAGGAGGTCACACGTTGCAGTCCACGTTCTCATCGTGCAAATCTAAAAGTCCCTAATATTGATTTACTGGTCGAGGTTCATTATTTGATGGTCATTTCAAATCACCAGATTTCAGCGGGTTTACGCTTTCACAACGAAAAACTTCTCCATGACCACGTTTCTGCCCTTGCGCGATCGCCTCCAGCTCCAGCAGACATGGCGCGGCAGCATGCACACGTACCGTTACTAACGACGCAGTAGGCCTGTAACCACTGCTGACGGCGGCACTGTACTGCGAGCTGAATCGGTAATAATAGGCCCTACTCATAGAAAAAGAAATTTTGCATGCTAATCTAAGTTCCATTTCATTGGTTTAAGGTTTGAAAATTGAAACTCAATATTGTGTTAAAGTTATAACAGAAAAGATAATCTTTATTTTATAATTCCATGGGGGCGATTTTTAATTTGGCAATCGCCCCCGTGAGCAACCTGACGGGGGCGATTATGTAGCTCATGGGGGCGAATCGCCCACTGCCCCCGTGTATTTTGAGCGCTGGGTTGAACTGACCCACCAAAAGATAACTAACTACCAAGTCATGTAAAACACAAAAAATTAGCAGAAATGCTGTGTAATGGGTCAATCCTCGTTAGGACTGAACTGACCCACCACTGAAAGAGAGATTACAGTGTATACCAAGTGATTCAAAACACACAAGTTTACCACAGATGCTGTGTAATGGGTCAAGCCTAAGGGAGGCTGAACTGACCCACCACCGAAAGACAGGTTACAGTGTAAATACCAAGTGATGTACAGACAAGAGATCTGTAGTCAATTTATTCAGTAGTATAACGACAAAATAGTTGGCAGTTATGATGCCTTTAGCCAACATTTAAAAATGGGGTGTCAAATTTGGGAAGTATATGAAGTGTCCACAACATGCTCCCTTTAGCCCATTGCCTATAGGAACCATTTGGTTTCCCGGCAAAATTTGTATGATCACGTATTACAGTAGTCAAAACATATTCTTTCACATAATTTGGTAATAAGAGCTTCCATTTCATTTTTTTGAGAGGGGGGTGTTTCCAAAACTTGTCTTTACCTTAAAGAGTATGTTATTGCCGTCATTTTGTTCTTAATGTCCCAGCAAATTATTTTGATATTTGTGATATACAGAGCACTCGAAGTCTAGCCTTTTCATGATTTGAATTACACAGACGGGTACACTTTAAACATTTATAAAGATGTTGTGTGATTAAGGAAGTGTACTTAGTAAGATTTATCACCTGTAGGGTCATGAGGTTTGATTGTTTTCAGACCTAAAGACAAAGAAAAGGAACATTATGTTCTTATGCTTTTTGGGATGCACATTAGTAGTGCACTTTGCTCACATTAGTCTTAAATTGTAAATGTTAACAGCATTGTGAAGAAACAATGGGGACCAGGGTCTTCCAGTATAGCGCTTAGATAATCTTTAGTGTAATTTTCAGGTAGGCTGTATATAATACAGACCACCTTTAATACCTTCTTGGTCTTTCAACATTCTCATCAACTTTTTAGAGAGAATTTAAGTACAATCTATGAGGTACATTAGTTTAGCAAAATGTTGTGGCACGGAAAGACACGTCCGGAAAGCAAAATGCATAAATGTTGAAAATTGTAATTTTATCATACAGGGTTGGAACCATAACGTTCAGATTTAGAGCTGGTTAATACTTGTACTATGATCTCAATTAGGCTTAATGTTACTTATACTTAATTTTGAATATGACAATTACAGGCATTAAAACAAAAGAAACAAACAGGACAAATTGAATTAACAGAATACAAAGTAAACAATATTAATTGAATAAAAACAAAACAATCAAACAAACAAAGTTCAAGTACATGTATGATTTAACTTGGGTGGCATGGTTCCTGATAAACGAAGGATCTTGACATCGATCATTTAGATTATCCATGATTTTTGAAAAAAGAGCAATTTAAAAATGGCATTCATGCTCCCCTTGGTTTTCAAGTCTTTACTTGGCCTCACTTGGTTTCCGTCGATCATTTGGCACAGGTTGGTGTACATTGTACATCATATGACCGAGTGCTCTGCCAAGTTCATCATTTCTCTGGGGAGTCTCTGATTTCTCTATTTTCCAGTGTTCACTGAGTGTACAAACTGTACAACATACAACAATACAAGAACATTTTGTATGCCTAGCCCTAGGTCATACCAAAAGTTTTTCATTTTGATGTCATTTATTTTCCAGATTTTTTAAATGAATGTGTTTTTCTATGCGTTTCTACTCAACAATACATTCTTGGTTCTAAGGATGCATTTTGAATTCATTGTCACTTCGATACCCTCGCTGCTGGAGAAACAAAGTTGACATCAAAAGAATTGCCATTCAATTCTATTTGAGTGAGACATTACCTTTCTTTTGTTTATTTTTTGTCGTAAATCCCTCTGGGTCTTTCAATTTGCATTCAGAAAAATGCTTCTAATACTCTTTTCACACTGGTTTTGCTTAACCCCGTACTTTGCTTAGCCCCGTACTATCCTTAACCCCGGACTATTTTTTTGGCTTTTCACACTCGCTGTTTGTAAACCCGTACTAGCGCCTATTCCGGAATAAGAAAATTCCCGCTGTTCTCACTGCATTTCGTTAACCCCGGATATCGTGTATGTTATGATTGGAGATACCTCGCATCTGGCCAGCTGCGATACGCTCCATTGCGTAGTACCGGACTATTTTTCGTTTCTGTTCTCATTCATTTGCTTAGCACCGCAATTGCGGGGTTAGCAGGAGTTAGCACCACAATTGCGGAGTTAGCCCTGCTATTTTGCAGGGTTAGTTAACCCCGTACTATAGGTGGGGTTAGCCAACTTTAGCCCACTTTGGTAAAAACCAGTCTGAACAGAAAGTGGAATAGGCTTAACCCCGTACTATAGGTGGGGCTAAGACCCCCCCCCCCTTAATCCCACCTATAGTACGGGGTTAAGCAAAATATTGCCAGTGTGAAAACAGTATTAGAATATATTTATCTACTTTGCTTAACTTCAATATGAATATTATCAGTACATTCAGTGTAAATGTTATATTGAGGAGGTGCCATGGCTCACTTTGTAGAGCAATGATCGCCTATTAAACCGGGAGGTCCCTGGTTCGAAACCACATCAATGCGCTTGTGCCCTTTGGTAAGGCATTACTCCTCATTACCACGTCCCTCAGGGAGAACTTTAAGCCGTCTGTCCCCTGGTTGCCTACTTACATGTACATGTACATGTACAAGCGTACATATTTACAAAATGCTTTCTTACTAGTCAGGTAAAACAAACAAACAAACAAATACACAAATATGAACATTATTACATTGTTTGTATTGCCATATTAACAAAACTTTGATGCATGGTTTCTTTTGTACCCATGCTGAAACTCCCATGCTTGATATTGGCCCCTCCCACGCTTGATATTGGCCCCTCCCACCTAAAGCAATGTTTTCTTTGTCTACCGGTAATAAGACAAGGCAAAATGACAGTTGATCCCATTATCAAAGGTAAAGGACTCGAAAGTGAGCTTTGTTAAGCTAACTTATTAAGCAAACAGAAATCATAATAAACCCATTTGACATATCAATATTAGCTATTTGTTTAGCCCAGGATATGAGCTGAGGACAATTGGTACATTGTCCACTGTGTACATTTAAGTCCTTTTTTAATGTCATCATAAAAACTTGATAAGTCAGCGTTCCTGTCAAATGTCTTTTTTGATTTTATCTGGAATATCAAAGGTTAATGGGAATTCTTTCTTCACTCTTCTACGTGTATGCTTGTCTTGTTTCATAATGTTCAGATGAGTGCAAGTTTCAAAAGGATTGTAATTGTTTGAACACCAGGGATGAGATTCCTCCGCCGATTTCACGATTTCAAGAGGGGGAGGGGGGGGGGGGGCTTAAACTTCAGATAATTATTAATTGTACATCTAGCATTGACCTCTCTACCTTAGCAGTATTTTCCTCTCATCTGAACAATGTTATCGAATCCCTTAAAGCAAGATGGGGTAACAAATATTTCTCAAATTTAGAATTTAAATGCAAGGAAAACGTGTCCTTTTATGTAAATCCATTCTAAAGTTTTCTGGCGGAAAGGGGGCACTTTTACCCCCATGAGGGGGGGGGGGAGGCACTGCCCCTGGACCCCCATTTAATCTTCCTCCTTTTGGGGAATTCCCCTCTCAACCCTGGAACACTTGTTTACTTCATTTATTTTGATAATTACATGTATATTAAAAATATAATTCAAACAGATAAAATGCAAATATACATCTACTGTACCTGTAGAAATTTACAAGTATGAGACTGGAGAGAGAAAAAACCAGGAAAAAAGATAAGCAACAGAATTTGTATACAAAGGCATGGAATTACAAGCGTTAATAGCAGAAGAACCTCAAAGGTTCTGTCTCGGCACCAACCCTGTGTGATATTACACACAAAACAGAAGTAGTGATGATATTAATCAATGATAAGATATAAAACTATATATTAAAATGTACATACATGTATGTGTTGAATAGGTTAAAAAGTGGAGGTTTTTTATTTCTGCTCACAGTATCTGCATTGTCATGATTTTAGGTGCATTTCACACAAAATGCAAACTCACAGTACCTACTTTGTTAGTTCTTTTAGGAGTTTAATACAAAATACAAACAAACATATACATTGACATAGTAAGATTCTTTTGATCTTCAAATAATTGAAGTTAAAGTATTTCGATACTGTCGGTATACTTTTTTCCTGTATGCAGAAGGGTTCTTCAAATACTTTTTGTATAGCTCTATCTTTTTCTTACATGATTTCAATATTGCTATAGTAATCCATGGTTTAGATTCCCTTTTTCGGCAACGCTTTTCTTTCAAAGGAAAACAAGAATTCTGTATAATATTAAATTCACTGAGAAATACTTCATAAGCTCTGTCACATGACTCTTCATGCATCACATATTCCCAAGAATGTTCAGTCAGGGCAACACTTTAGCAAATCTAGAAACTCAGACATAGTATCAAAGTTTTTATTGAGACTGCGGCAATTAATATGCATTAAGGATATGTATTGTTCATCCAATAACAAAATTTTGTTATTAAGTTGATCAGGTAAGTAATACTCTGTTTCTTTGTCTATTATATTGTTCATTAGGTCTGTGCCGAAGTTTTCAATGGCACTATCATTGCATGATTCTAGTTAATCTTTCAAATCAAAATTAAAAATAGGTAGTTGAGATGACATAATGACAAGTACAAGTACAAACACAACTTATGAAAAAAAAAAAAAATTTAAAAATACAAGAGATGTAGAAAAATATCAGATCCAAAAATCGACCCATCTGGAATTTTCTAAAAGTTTTTAAAAATTTCACAACTTGACACAATTATTTGTTTCTTTCCGTGCACAGTGTTCCATACGGTATAATTTCCTCACAACAGTACTTACAGCTTGCATGCTGAATTAAGAATCATCGTTTCTGCCCAAACTAATTGGTACAAAACGATTTTGATAAAACTTTTGAAAAGGTTGCTGCTCAGTCATCCATGGTAGCAGAGTTATGAATAAGGTATCAGACAGAATATTAGTTTTTCTACTATGAAAATGAATGTAATTAAATGGCACACATCTTAAAACTTTGAATTGGAATCTGTCAAAGTTGGCTAGGCCAGACAAGCTTTACGGTGTGCTATAAAAACAACACATAATTCGTGCAAATTTGCATTCTGACCATTGAAATACAGTCATTCATAACAAGTGATCAAAATAATTTGTTTTGAGGCACTTTAAAGCAGGACTGTATTACCTGTAGGTACTTGCACCCTCTATACAACCAACATTGCCTAAGCGGTATCAGTTATCCCCCATGGTTCCCTTTTTCTTATGTAAATCGAGAGCTGATTTGATGAGATAACCACCTGCCAGTGACCACGCAGGGAGGTATAATCCCTCCTGGCCAAACTAGTGCAGGTTGGCTACATTACGTAAATGTCCTTTTCTCCTCTGCTTTTATCCTTCGTCTGTGTTGTATTCTCTAATTTACAAAGTAACCTTTTATTTCATTTTTTTCCTTTAAATTGTTTTGTTTCTCAGGAAGAAAAGCATGTTGGCAAACAACCTGATTGCCTTTGTGGGAGCAGCTCTTATGGGGTTCTCCAAGATGGCCAACTCGTACGAGATGCTCATCATCGGTAGATTGATCATTGGTATCAACTGTGGTAAGCAACATATATGGTAGCAATTGGTAACATAGTGGTAGCAGCTGTGGTAAGCAACATGCATGAATAGTGGATGATAAGAAACAAGTTGCAATAGTAGAATGATCATCAGTATCATAGTGGTAAGCAACATATCTGGTAGAAATTGGTAACATAGTGGTAGCAACTGTGGTAAGCAACATGGATGAAAAGAGGATTATAAAAAACAAGTTGCAATAGTAGCATGATCGTCAGTATCAAAGTGGTGAGAAACCTATCTGGTAGCAATTGGTAACATAGTGGTAGAAACTGTGGTAAGCAACATGTATGAAAAGTGAATGATAAGAAACAAGTTGCAATAGTAGAATGATCATCAGTATCATAGTGGTAAGCAACATATCTGGTAGCAATTGGTAACATAGTGGTAGCAACTGTGGTAAGCAACATGGATGAAAAGAGGATTATAAGAAACAAGTTGCAATAGTAGCATGATCGTCGGTATCAAAGTGGTGAGAAACCTATCTGGTTGCAATTGGTAATATAGTGGTAGCAGCTGTGGTAAGCAACATGCATGAATAGTGGATGATAAGAAACAAGTTGCAATAGTAGAATGATCATCAGTATCATAGTGGTAAGCAACATATCTGGTAGCAATTGTTAACATAGTGGTAGCAACTGTGGTAAGCAACATGTATGTACAGTGGATGTAAAGAAACAAGTTGCAATAGTAGAATGATCATCAGTATCATAGTGGTGAGAAACATATCTGGTAGCAATTGGTAACATAGTGGTAGCTATTATGGTAAGCAGCGTATCTGAATCGTAGATCATGAGAAACAAATTGGAATGTTTTTATAATTGTCATTATCAATGTTAGCAAACAACTAGTCTTAGTAGTGGATGATAAGAAACAAGCTGATCATTAGTATCATATTAAAGCAATTGTGGTAAGCAACATCTGAGTAGTTGTTGGTAGGAAACATATTGGAACGTTATCATAGTCATCAATATTAATTTTTTCAAACAAGAAATCTAAGTAGTGGGTGATAAGAAACAGGTTACAACAGTTCAATGGTCATCAGTATCATATGTTGTAAGCAACCAGTGTAAATGGTATATTTATTATCAGTTTAATTCTGAAAATAATGTATTAAAATTACCATTTAATCATCAGTATGGTTTATAAAAAGATATTTGAGGGCTAGATTGGTAATTGCATAGCTGCCGACCTTTCCAATTTTTTTTGAGGAATGATTCCTGTTTTTCCAGCCAAATGTTCTGAAAACATCTGTGTACTTGCATACTCTGGATTGGATTTTGAATATCGGATATGCTGTATTTTGTGACTGAAATATGTTCATAATTATTTAGTTTGTAAACTAAGTTTTAAAAAAAGTTAAGTATGTGAAAAAATGATTTGTGCCAATTTGTTTCTTGAGAATGTGACCTATTAATGCTTACAGTTACATTCAACAAAGGCCCTAATTCAACCAGTCCACCTTTCATTTTTGAGTTACAAAAAAGACAAAAACATGAATTTACCAGGGGTATGAATAATTTATTTGTCAACTGTATACATGTATAAACACATTGTTTTCTTTCATTTTTATGATAGGGCTAAACACTGGTTTTGTACCCCTGTATCTGTCTGAGATTGCTCCTTTCAATCTGAGAGGAGGGATAGGGGTTCTCAATCAAGTGGGCGTGGCAAGCGGTATCCTCCTCTCACAAATATTTGGTCTGCCAGTGGTCCTTGGTGAGTATCAGAGTCTCTACAAAACCTTCGCAAAACTGTTTTTGATTTGACTTTTTTTAGTTGTTTTTTGTTGTTGATAATTCTGTATCAGCCTCAAAAGCGTTTCAGTGGGGTTCCTCAAGGTTCTCTCCTTGGTCCCCTTCGCAAAACAGTTTTTGATTTTATTTTTTTTGTTTCTTTTTGTTTTTTGTCGTTGATAATTCTGTATCAGCCTCAAAAGCGTTTCAGTGGGGTTCCTCAAGGTTCTCTCCTTGGTCCCCTCCGCAAAACAGTTTTTGATATGTTTTTATATTGTTTTGTTTTTTGTTGTTGATAACTCTGTATAAGCCTCAATTCAGTGGGGTTCCTCAAGGTTCTCTCCTTGGTCCCCTTCTTTTCCTTTTATACATAAATGATTTCAAAACTTCCTCTGATATCTTATCTTTCATCCTTTTGCTGATGATTCTAACATTTTCTATTCACATCGTGACCCTCACACTCTCTTAGGTACATGTAATATAAATATAAATATTGTCTTGCTTATCTCTTAGTTATTGTGATTGTTCAAGATAAAGTTGAGTTATAGTCGTGCAGTTACATTGTGGAACAGTCTGTAAGCATTTGGGAAAAGTTGATTATAACATTTTAGGTATTTTGTGAGGTTTTTCAATGATCAAAATGAAATGAATTGCCGCGATCTTACTGAAATCACATGCAATGCCTGTGAGGAAAGACCTGACAGCTGTCCTACCCATCTAGCAGATTCTTGTCCCAACAATTTGTTAGATGTCTGTACACCTAGTACTCGGGTTGTTTTCAATCTCGTTATGGTAACCTTTAAAGCTTAACATGACTGGTATGACTGTTAGTTTTGTTAGCCTCTGGTTATAGCTTTCCATACAATCTATATCAATTTGTTACTCAAGATTATTTTCTTCCTGGGTGCATGAACTAACAAATGCTGGCTTTTAGATAGCACTAACTGCTGATCCAACCACTTGTCCTTTCCCCGTAGCCTTCTCTTGGAAAAAAAAAAGTTCAGAACCATCATGATTGTTTTCTTTCTTTCATGATTCAGGTACGGAGAAATGGTGGCCTCTGTTGCTAGGTCTGACAGCCATTCCTGCCGTCTATCAGCTCATCGTTCTTCCATTCTGTCCCGAAAGCCCCCGCTATCTCCTCATCACCAAAAACGAAGAGGAAGCCAGCAGAAAGAGTAAGTCATAGTGGTGCACTAGGGTTCCTGGGGAGTGTTTCACAAAGACTAAGATCGACTTTAAGTTGGACTTAAATATGGCAGGCCGTTCATGCCACTGTTCACTCTCACCATTTATGATCTTGAGATAATATTTTGTCCTTCAATATTGAATTGGCAAAAAATATAAATTCTGTAGGTTTGTGACATAGATTTGTGACTATGATTTGTACGTCCCTTGAGAAACGTATGCGGGGAATGGTGAGAGCAACTAGTGGCATGAATGGCCTGTCATAGTAAAGTCCAACTTTAAGTTGATTTTAGTCTTTGTAAAATACCCCCCTTGGTCTAGCTGCAGAGATGCCAACCGTTACGGTTTCGCAGTATTTGTTACGGTTTTAATGCTCTTGTTACGGCGTTACGGTAAACAATCAAAAGGTTACGCGTTAACGATAAATAAAAGTACATTATAGCGAATGCCGCCTTATCACATAGCCTCCGTACACAGCGCTGCATGTTGCACGCAATTACTCATGAGTTCACTGAATTTGACTACACTGGATAGGCATTTTCGCGCACATGGTCCGTCCGCCGCCATCTTGTTTAATTCCGAAACAACATGGCCGCCGTCATTACTGTTTTGATACTAGTACACTGTATACTACGTGCGGTCGTGCATTTTGGGGGAGCATGGTGGTGGATGATCGTGCGCGCCGCGCCCGCAATACCCATTCAAAGTATAGTAGCGAAGACTTCGGTGATTCAGCGGGCGCATTGCAAGTGCGCTATACGGTGTGTTGTTGTTCATGAACGCCGGGCCTAGCGGCCTGGGCTGGTGTGTCTGTGGTACTGGTGAGTGTACGTGTGCGTGTGTAGGATACGAGTTCTGCCATTTGACTGTGGATTTGAATTTGCCGTTCGACGCTTGAACGAGATGTTTTATTCTTGAATATTATCATGGATTCACTCAAAAGAGCGAGTACCCAAGGAGGAGATCCTTTGACTGCAAAGTGCAAACAGATTTAAAAAAACGTTTTTATGCACATCTTTATTTTGGACTTAAAAATGGTAGGTTCGAAATGCAGTAAGAGTGATCGGGTGTTTGTGTACGTTTTCCGCGAAAATTATGCTGCAGTGTCTTGCGTTACGAAAAGACCCCATTCGTTACGGACAAATGTGGTAAATGTTACTGACAGCCATCCTATAGGGTTGGCATCTCTGTAGCTGTATCATAAAGTTATTGTTATCGTATTAATGACTAAGGCTGTGATGGCATCCAAGCAGAGATTTTCTTTGAGGGCTTCTTTATACTTTAATCTTGAACGTTGACCTGTCTTGTAAGAGGGAATTTATTAAAAACAAATTTAGTTCTCCTATTCATTTCATTAAAATATATATGCTCATTATTCATCAAATGTAATTGCTATGTACTAATGATTTTGCATCATGAAACTTTTGCTTCATTTCAATGTAAATTAATAAATTAACTGAACTAATTGAATTAGGCATATTGATTTGATGTTTTTAATGTTTACACAATTTACTTTTATTGAAGTATCTTGTTCATTTTGTTCTGTAAATGTCAATGATGTTGTAGATGTTGAATATTAAAAACAATTCATGAAACCGAAAACATTCTTCTTGTACTCATCATAAATGTGACTGTACGATCTTTCCCTGTTTAGGCCTGGAATGGTTTCGTAAGGATACTGACGTAGCAGCAGACATGGCCGAAATGAAACGAGAGTACGAGGAGGAGACGAAGGAGAGGAGAATCACAATCTTAGAACTTTTAAAGAAGAACTCATTGCGACGGCCTCTTGTCATCAGCATCGTCATGCAGCTTTCTCAGCAGTTGTCAGGAATCAATGCCGTAAGTTCTTGCTTTCAAATTCTAAGAGTTGCTTTAACTTCATGAATAACATTTTTCCTCAGCAAATGTTTTCCTTAGAAAGAGCTAAGCACTTAAATAGTCAAAGTTTGGATGTAAGTTTGTGCGTAATTTGAAACACAAAACGTTCCAAACTTGGGGAGTAATTCTGTTAAATGGCATTCCTTTGAGTGTAAATTTGCTCCTGCCTGCAGCTTTGAAGATACTAAAAAGACTAGTGTGGAAATTTATGAATGCTTCTTTCTAGGTGCCCAGTGACTGAATATTGTACTCCATTGGTCAGAGTGCAGATCGCATTTGTCTGTTGTTGCTATGTTTGGCAAACCTCTGTAAAGCTTGCAGGTTGTCACGAATGTGCAGAAAATGACAATTTCCCATGTCTAAATGTCAAGAAAATGAACTCTTTTTAAAATTGTAATAATCTACAAGTTCATATGCCTGTGTTTCTGAGAAATAACACTGTTGTAGGTAATCTTTTCATACGGATATTGCAGGGGACCGAGATATCAATTCCTCTCAAATCTGGCTTTTTAAGCCATTGGTTACTGTAACAAGGTAGTCTGTGTGTTAAAGCATATATGGAAATTTGATAATGCAGTAGTCAGCGGGTTAGCTGCTTGTATCTTGTGCAGGTTGTCAAATTGTTACCTCAATTTTATATAAATAATTTTTTCCTTTTCTTTTAAGGTCCTGTACTACTCCACTTCCATCTTCATTTCTGCGGGAGTTGAGCCTGACATAGCACCATATGTAACGCTCAGTACAGGAGGAGCGATAGCATTGATGGCTTTAGTTACTGTGAGTAAATAAACGGTCCGTTTGAGCATTTTGCAAAGGCGATGCCTGTTTGCGTAAGTTCTTCGATAAACTTTGACATTTTAACATTCTCTATATTTCTTGGCAAATAAGTAATGGTTCATGTTTTAATCAGGTTATTTTGTTCTTGCGCTGCAAGTTCAAAAACAGGGGTGATGATGCTAGGGAGGAGGAAGAGAAGGAGGAGGGGGAGGGGGAAGGAGGAGGAAGAGAATAAGAGGGGTGGGAGGAGGAGGAAGAGGAGGAGGGGAAGAAGGAGGAGAGTATTGCCTAATATTTTTGGATAAGAATGAAACGAGAATAAGGGTAAACAGCAATATTGATGATAAATAGAGTAATTGGCGTAATGATTGATGACAAAGTTGATGATGGTAATGACCGTGGTGATGATTATGATCATAACTATAATTATGAGTTAAATAAACTGCAACCAGAACAACAACAGCAATCGTAATAATAATTGTAATAATATTAACAGGTAAGATATAATTCTGATACCAGGCAAAAATATTCCAAGAGTATAGACGTTTGGCCAAAGGTTAATTATATATTAAAGTGACTCGGTAACATTGTTGAAGGTTGATGAAAAAAATTGCTTAATTTTTGTATAAAATGTTACTTACTATATTCTTTCTACTATACTAACCCTCTGACATGCAAAAAATCCTGAACAAATTCTCAAACCACAAAGATATCTATAGTTTTCTTTGAAGGCGTCGATGTGGGGCACCCTCTAACAGTGATTAACAGTAAATTCTCCCAACCATTTTTGAATTTTCCCAACCGTTTTCCATGACAAAAATACATAAAACAGGCTATAAAAAATCTGTCAACACTTAACTGTCTGGAATGGAATGTAGAGCCATTTTATTGCTTTGTGACGATTTACATTCACCTAAAATGTAATTAAATTGTCCTTGTCATGATGCTGAACAGGCTTTGACAAGTAGCAGAATAGAAGTATAATAATATAGTTTGGAGAATTAAGGAATTGATCAGATCAGTTTTTCCCAAGTTGCACCATGAATAATGATTTGTTTTCACTCAAATTTTCAGATTATCTTTAATTGTACATCTAGCATTGAAGTCACTACCTTAGCACCACTATCTCTCATCTGAACAATGTTACAAAGTCCCTTTAAGGGGTGTGTCTAGTTTTCTAGGGTATAAGACACAATCACATCAGGGGGTGTATCCATATTCTAGTGTACGGATGCTTGAAGGGTAAATCTGCTAAGACTTTTATTGTTTCTAAGAATGATGGACTTTGAGACCATCTCCCATAAGAATGGTTGAGGAAAAAAGGAGAAGGAGAATGATCATTATTATTATTATTATAATTATTATTATAAATATAATGATCAGGCAATAAACAGTTATGATGAGTAATGAACAGGCATTTAAAATTGTGATAACAAGCTGAATATTCAAAGAGTAATATATTGACTTTGGGTAAAGATTAACACTTAACATTATTGAGGGTGTGTCTCCTTTTCAAGGTTAAAGGGATTGGGAATCTTTCCCTCAGATTCTTAACAAAATCCTGGATCTAGCTCATGCTTCAATCATAATTATAAACCTTTAGGTCAGTTAGGAATCCCATGATTTTACCAGCCAATCGCCTGTCTGATTATCAAGATATTTATGATTGAAAAACAAAATTTCAAAAACTGTTTTCCTAACGATTTTTATAACACTACAGTCTATTGGGCAAAATGAGTATAGTAAAACAAATCACTCAGAGATTTTTACTTTTTTGAGGTACTTCATGGTCATTTTGAAGTGCAACTTTTATTAGGGCTTCAATATTACACCATATCACAGATACTGATAACACGTAGGGCCATACATCTCAGATTTAACATTGTTAAACGATGCCTTTATTGTGAATATGCATTAACTGTATCAGGGGGTGTATCCTCATCCCAATGTATGCATGAAACAAAAGGGTGATCTAGAAAGCTTTGTATTGTTCCTGACGAGGACGGACTTTGAGACTGTCTCCATAGCAACAGATTGTCTGTCTGTAGCTTGATGACAAGATATATTTGTTGTGATCTAAAGATCAAACGGCCAACTGAAGTTTGAACTTTGCTAGATACACATGCCTCAGAGTCGGGTCTGTTGCTAAAGTGTGTATGTAAACAAAGTGTATTCTTCAGGGGCCCTCGAATGAATAAGAATAGAAAAGTTGATGGTGGTTTACCTCACATTTATGGTATTTTGCTGATGATTTGGTTATGATTGATGATTGAAACTGTTTCAGGAAAGAAGGGGGGGGGACGTAGATTTTTAAAACCTTTGTTGAAGGCCTTATGTAGTCCTTAGCATTGAGAGTATGAGCAAACCACAAAAGGTCTGTCTTCATCAGCTCAAGTTGGCCAAATAGCCTACTATTTTGTAATACGGGAAATTAGCCCGAAGTTACAAATCGAGTCTTCATCAGCTCGAAACTCGAGCCCGAGAAATTAGCTAGAGAAATTGAAGACGGACCACAAATAGCGGGCTATTTTGCAAACTATTCCAAGATATCTTGGGAAGATTTCCCAAGCATCTTCACCTGCCAAATAGCCCCTTCTTTAATGATCGGGCTAATTTCCAGAATCAGAAAAAGCGGGCTATTTAGCGAACTCAAGCTGATGAAGAAGGCCTATTGACTCTTAATGACATCATTTGTACTTACTACAAACAAGATATGTTGCCTCACGTATCTGTTGATCATGTGTCACTATAAAGTCGTATTCAGACATGACTAGGCAAAACTGCATTAAAAAGCACCACATCAAAGTAAAAGGAATTAAGCTCGGTGTGCTTTACATTTCTGTATTTATTATTATTTTTCTCTTGCGACCAAAACTTGAGTTTGGATTTCAAGGACAAATGAAGAATACAGACAGATACATGTAGATAACAATGGTAGAAATAATGTAAAAAAAGTCAAAGAAACTGTATAGTCTGATACATAAGTACATGTACAAGAATAATGTATTATAATCAAATTATTACACATCAAATAAATTAATGTAAGCTCATGAGTAAATTTTTCGTAATAATTGTATTTAACATCAGAAATAATTAAGCATGGCGATAAATTGAGTAGAGTATTAAAGAAGTATGCTTTTATTAATAACTTTCTTAGTTTTACTTAGAATTTGCTTGATCTTTTACTGACCTGTTCCTCTCAGGATTTGTTTTTGCTTCTTTCAAAACAACTCAATATCAGGTTTGACTTCCCCTTTAACATCTAATAAGCAGATCACTTTCAAGTAACTGTTTTTCTCTGGACCATGCAGGAAGGAAGACCCTTCACATGCTTGGTCTAGGTCCAATGCTCAAAATACACGGGGGCGGTGGGCGATTCGCCCCCGTGAGCTCCATAATCGCCCCCGTCAGGTTGCTCACGGGGGCGATTGCAAAATTAAAAATCGCCCCCGTGGAATTATAAAATAAAGATGATCTTTTCTGATATAACTTTAACACAATATTGAGTATCAATTTTCAAACCTTAAACCAATGAAATGGAACTTAGATGGCGCTATCTCTCCCATCTCTATGAGTATTACCGATACAAAAAAACGGAAGCTCGCACTATATTGTGCGTCCGTCAGCAGTGGCTATACTGCGCCGGTAGTACAGGTTTGCACGCTGACGCCCAATATCTGCTGGAGCTGGAGACGATCACGCAAAGACTGAAATATGCAGAAGTTTTTCGTTGTGAAAAGTGTGAATCCTCTGAAATCTGGTGATTATAAAAGACCAGCAAATTATGTACCTCGACCAGTAAATCAATATCGAAAAGAAGAACAAGACCAAAGATGTTGCAGGGGCGGATCTAGGCGGTTTAGGGGGTTTAACCCTCCTACCCCCCCCTCCCCCTTCGGGCTGCCAAGTGAAATGTGATGTGCATAGAAAAATGCCATCATGTGTCCAGACCTACACAGTGTAGATGTCAGAAGATGCCAGGAAAGCATCACTTACGGGGGTTCAAAATAGCACCAAAAAAATGCTCCGCACGTTAGTAGATGCCAGGAAAATATCACTTACGGGGGTTCAAAATAGCACCAAAAAATCGCCTCGCCGCTTTGCGGCTCGTGGACGATGCTCCGCATGTTAGTAGATGTCAGGAAAACATCACTGTCTTACGGGGGTTCAAAATAGCAACAACAAAAATCGCCTCGCCGCTACGCGGCTCGTGGACGATAAATGATAATGATAAAAAACAAGGAATTTAGGAGTTTCATGGGTACCAATTCAATGGAAATTTGTATAAAAATAAGAGCCCCCGTCAGCACTAAAAGAGCCCCCGTGAGAAGGCTCACGGGGGCTCTTTTTTTTGGGAAGAGCCCCCGTGGACAAAAAATTAATTTGAGCCCTGTCTAGGTCTCATGTTCATCTGTGCCGTCATCTACAACCTGGGAACAATCCTATCATTAACAGATCGCAAAGCAGATCACATCTCATGTTCATCTATGCTGTCTACTCCAACCTGGACGCTAACCCTTCATTAACAATCCCATAAGCAGATCACATTAAAGTACTTATTTATCTCTTTCTACAGGTGCCTTTGATGGACCATGCGGGAAGGAAGACCCTTCACATGCTTGGTCTTGGTCTTATGTTCATCTTTGCTGTCATCCTAACCATCTTCCTCAACCTCCAAACGGTGTGGGCAGGATCCTCCTACATCAGTATCCTCTCTGTCATGCTCTTTGTTGTTGCCTTTGGCCTTGGTCCTGGTGAGTAGTCAACTTTGACCCCTCAACTTTGACCCCTCCTAAGTATAAACATAATCTTGAGTTCTTGGACCTGTCTTCTAAAGGTATGCAACAGGCCACTTTCGTTATGTAACCCAATTTATGCATATATATGCCTTGTGTCTTTGTGAAGTGCATCAATTCAAATTATTTATTTCACCAGTTACAAATAAATGCATCTCAATTGTCAGAATTCAAATTACATACATTGGTTGTTGCTAGGTAGGACAAACATTATGTCTTGCCCTACTTAACAACACATAATACATGTATATGCAATTTGCATTCTGACTTCTGAAGTACAATCAGTTGTATCAAACAGGTGAATGAAATAATTGGTATTGAGGCACTTACAATGTAAGTATGAATTCAGTTACATTACAAAAAAGGCCTATTAGTACAGACTGATCCTTACAAAAAATATTTTGTGCATTACTGCAGAGTCAAAGAATTACACTCTCTCTCTCTCAATTACTTTGTCATTCCCTTTTTTCCCTCTCTTCCATCTTTCTCCTCTTTCCTCTCCCTGATCCTTGTCTGTTTTTGCTAAATCAAGGGTTAACCCACATTCTGAAATGTATAAACCCACAATTATCACCTGTTTCTCCTTCCTATTCCAGCATCGATCCCCTGGCTATTTGTGGCTGAGCTCTTCTCTCAAGGACCCCGTCCAGCAGCGGTCAGTGTAGCCTTCATGGTCAACTGGATGGCCAACTTCGTTGTAGGACTCCTCTTCCCACTCATGCAGGTAAGTGGACATTTTGGTCCCTATTCTACTTTATTCAGTAGGGATTTAGCTCATGCTGCAATCATAATGATAAATCTTTAGGTCATACTTGAATCCCAGGATTTTTACAAGCCAATCGCCTGTCTGATTATCAAGATATCTATGATTGGAATTAGAAATTTCAGAACGGTTGTTATAACACTACAGTCTATTGGGAAAAATGAGTATGGTAAAACCGGTCACTCAAAATTGTTTGCTTTTTGAGGCACTTCATGATCATTTTGAAGCACAACTTTTTTAGGGCTTCAATACTTCACCATATCACAGACACCAATTACACGTAGGGCCATGCATCTCAGATTTAACATTGTTAAACGATGCATTTAATCAGTTAAATCCAGTCCTACAACATGTAGGTCTAAGATAACGTTTAATGGAAGAAAAGTTATACCTCAGACTACCTTTCTTTGTTAGACCAGATCAAAACCTTATTTCAGTATCAGTTTTAATTTGAGCAGAATACAGACTTTTGTCACCTACCAGTATTGCAATAGAGAAATACAGGTAACAACTGAGTTATTTATACCCCTTGTAAATTTGATGTTTTTTGTGTTTTCATAACTCAAGAATGAAAGGTGAACTGGTTGACTTAGGGCCTTTGTTGAATACTTTTAGATGTAAGCTTGAGATGTCACATTCTCGAGAAACATAAATTGGTCAAATCAGATTTTCACATACGTAACAAACTACAAAACTTGGTGAGGGTATGAATTATTTAGGATCTTTGTGAGACACCCCCATATCTAACTTCTTACTCTGTTGTTACCACCTTCATCATCATTAATCATCTCTCTATTGTAGGATGGCCTTGGATACTACGTCTTTCTCATCTTCGCTGCCTTCCTGGTAGTCTTCTTCCTCTTCACCTGGAAGTTTGTTCCCGAGACAAAAAACAAGAGCTTCGAGGAAATCAGCGCCCTCTTCAAATCGAAGAGCCAACGTGACCACGAGGCTAACGGAACGAAGAACGTCTATGAGCAGGGCGTAAGTGACAAGATCTAACTTTGCATGGCTTGAACTGTGTGGCATGGACTATTAACACGTGTGGTTTTATTTGCATGCGCATGATTTACATGTAGCTAAATTTTGGAGCTGGGATTGTTTCGTGATAGACCATGTTTTGTAATGTAATGTAGTCTAGTTCTGGGTACTTCTTTGTCAGACCACAGGCTGTGTATGTCAACCAAAGATTTCAGTCCTGACTGCATTTGTCTACTTATATGGAGCTCCGCAAAAGAAAAAAAAGCGTCTTCTTTTTTCTAAAGAACACACAGTTTTCCATTCACAATGTATCCTAAAATCACATGAATTCTTAGTTTTCTCAGTTTTCCGAAAATATAGTACCGGAGGTTGTGCAGACAGATTTTTTTTCTTTCTTACTCTACACTGTAATGTTAAAGTGGCAGTTTGGCAGTTTTATCAGAACATAAAGTGCATTTAGGTAGTGCAACTGAAATGACAAAATACCATCCCGTGGCAATATTGTGGAAGAAGTGCCCTTAAAGTTTGGCTGGTTTCATGTTACATGTAGCACCACGAAGCACTTACATTCAGACAGGGTTGATCACAAATCTTTGTTAAGTGCCATGTTACAAATTGTTTCATTCACCTGTTGCAAATAAATATATTTCATTAGTCAGAATATGAATTGCATACTTTCGTGTCTTGTTAGGTGGGACAAGCCATAATGTTTGTCCTACCTAGCAACAATTAATGTATGCAATTTGCTTTCTGACTTCTGAAATACAAGTATTTGTGACAGGTGAATGAAATAATTTTGTAAAATGGCATTAAACAAAGATTTATGCATTCAATTTGATTACATTATGAAACTGGTCTATTTGGTTTTGATACTTGTACCTATACAATACAGGGTAACCCAATAAAAATGGACTAGCATACTTCCCATAATGCAGGGCAAATTTCATTGTTACCAGTAGCAGGGGGATCTTTTTACAAGAAAAATGATACCAAATTTGCTAAAATTGGTTGAAGATTTCTTATTTCTCTACCAAATTGTGAATCTTGGTATTCATTTTTCATGTGAAAAGATTCTCCTTCCCTTAGTACCAGTGAATTTGACCCCACATGATTTGAAGTATGCTAGTTCATTTTTATTGGGGCACGCTGTATTTTGGCTTATAGATGGTTGTTTCTTGGTGATCTAACAGGAGTTCATCTGTAACTCACTAACGATGGGTTCTAATTGAGTATTTCTTAATGTACTAGGTATGTTTTTGTAAGTCTAAACTTATTTTCAAACTAGAGAAATATGCGTTTATTAATCAACAACTTCTTTAACTATCAATGAAAGGACTTACATTTCTTTTAACAGCAGGTCAGAAACTATTGTACATGTAGTATATGGAGGGGGGGGGGGAAGCAGAATAAATATTTTGTTTTCATCAAAACCCTTCATTCAAGTCAAGATAAGGTCCCATTTTAGCCAAATACCAAAAGGGAAATGGGAATCGTGACTAGGGCCCTCGCTGACAAATAAGCTGACTAATAAAGTTTTCTCTCCAGGTATTAAGGATATTTAAAGACAGAGACCAATTACTTTGTCGTAACCATTTTATTTGGTGGTGCATGTAGACAAATTCCGATTATATTAGTAGTCTCTAGACCCATAGCTACATGTATATTAGTTTTATTTAAAAAATTCCTGTCGTTGAAGTGAACCAACTAGTTTTATCATATTAGAATGGGTGGACTTTTTAATGATCATATACATTTATGCAGATTGGACATTTAGTATAAACTTCCTTCCATGTAAAGCTTTAAAAGTTGGTAATTGTAGCTAGTTATCTCAATGGGCAAGTGATGTTAAGCAAAGTACACTAATGCAATCAGTTTGAGCGCTTTCGGTGTTTCTGCTGTTTCACTGTGCAGTTAAAGGTTGATTTTGAGAAGAGCAAGCATGAGCCTACATGTACATGTAAATGGTCATTTCAATGCTTGGTCATCAGGACCCCCCCCCCCCCCCCCCTCCACCCCTCACACCATTCTTGGTTCAAACGGCTGGCTTTCAATCCCTTGGTAGCAATGTTGCAATGAAGCAAGCTTCAAACTTCATTTATTTCTCTCATCAATGTAAAAAAGCAATACATAAAAGTGCATAATTGTACATGATAAGTGTATATATTATTATAAAATGTGAAGAAAAAAAGGTATATCAAGAGTCAACCTGTGTGAAAACAGGGAACGTATGTTTTATATTTACCTTTTATATCTGGTATGATCTGTAGAAATCCTTGAATTAAAAAAAACATGGTAACTTACTTAAAGAGCATGGAATATTTAAAAACCTTGATAATTACTCAGTTGCATGCATGCACATGATTAGAAATTGTCAAATGGGGACACATTTTAGCATCTTAAAGTGTGTAGGAGAAAGGAAAAGTGCTCATTATATTCAACTTTCTATTTAGTTCATTTAATATTCATAACAAATTAATTTACTTTTCGTGTAAAGCTCAAATTAGGAATACATCTATATCATAAAATATGCAAGTAATTATATGTATTCAGTACTATTGAAGTATTATACTAATTCTCATCTTCATATTTTTATATTTTATATATAGAAAACTACTAGCATAGTCTTTATTTTATATATTACTCGATATAAAATACTTCAGACTTGAAGTCTGTGCATAAGATGATAAGATACTCAAGTATCTATGTGTATCTAAAACATGATATTCAAATTCTGATCTCTTTAACCTATAACTAGACATGTTTAATGTTTTTAGTGAATATATGTAGGTTGATTTTATAATTGTATGAATAATCTGTTATTTTATGGTTTATATGTATAACATGGTACGTGAGTACAGGGCTCCATGCTATAAAACCACTTTAAAGGGGCTGCATGCTTGAGCCTTTTTTATTTTGTGATAAAGATTTGGGGGAACGGACTAAGAATTTATGTGCCAATGGCAACTCGTCCCAGGCACTTGTTGATGTTGAGCTGTGGGTGAAAGGTTATGTTATAGTTAAAGACCCTATAAAAATACAACTTAATCAAGGGAAAGCTGAAATGGACATAGAATACAAATATTAAGACGTGACAAATATTTTCCTTTTCAGTATTGCACAAAAGCAAATTAAAACCTCATTTTCTGCACCCCTTAACATTACGGGTTAACAGGGATCAAATATTCAACAGCTATGGTGATGACATAATATGTGGACCCTTTCGGCTCGCCTTTATAGCTGAGACTATGAGTTAGTGCTTTATTAATGCAAACTAATTAAGTCTTTGTAAATACATGTATATGCCTACTCAACATACATCAAGTCGATGGCTAGTTTTTAGGTCGACAACTTCGATTTTAAAAGCTTAAGATTTTGAGTTTTCAGAGAGCTGTTACTCCTCTGACAGATATTATAATAGCATATATATATATAATTGATATTTTCAATCCATGGCTTATAAACTCTCCGTTAATATATAATTAATCTATTTCATTTTACACTTCAGACAGGGTCTTTAAATTTTGATGGAATCAGTGAGAATGTTATTCAGCATTACAGCACATGTGAAACTAATTTGTCTTTCTATTTCTTGCATACATGTAGTATTAATAACAAGACACATTTAGGTATGAATAATATAACTTAATAATAAAAGATGATCAAGTTCATACAATCTAATATATAAAGGGAAGATGGTTGATGTAAATTACTATGAAAAATATTGTGCAATTAAGATTATGTTGATCATTTCTTCCAGAGTATGCAATTTTGTGGACAATCATTTGTTTTCATTTTTTTTTTAAATTACTAATATATCTTTAGACAAAAAGATTTATGCCAATCTGTAATTTCTACATGCCTCAATCTTCCATGTAATTGTGTGCCAGGTGATTTGTGCAATCTATGCAATTTATTACCAAAAGTGTTTTACTAACCAATGTGATCATTACAACAACAAAAAAGGAATGATTAAAAGCAATTCTGTAAATATGAATGTGAGTCAATGTTAATTGTGGATTTATTGTTTTTATAACAGGGTAAGTACATGTACATGTAGGTGGTATACACAACTTTTCAACTACCGGTACTCTCCCTCAATAAATGCTGCGCTCATGGGCATTTGCAGTTAATTGCTTGTGATCAGTTGAACTGTTCAGTGCAGTGCTAGAATGTAAGGTGTCTGCATAATTGCAGCCACTCAAAAAACAGCTTACTTTGAATCATCGGGTCATCGCGTCTGGTTGGATGGTCGCGGTTACACGACCTTTCATGAAACGAAAGCGGAAGATCATGTGAAGATACACATTAAGGACGCAACCTTTTGTAGATTTGCCGTAGTTTTCTTACAAAGTGTCAGGTAAATTGGACCAGACCATTTTTAGATGAAGGGGTTTATTTCACAAACATTACCCCTGACATTTTGTGAATAAAGGGGCATGTTTTTACAAACGGTCGCGTAACGCAAACCACCCAACAAACGCGATGACCCGATGATTCGAAGTAAGCCGAAAAGACTGCCCCAACAGATTACAAGCAGAAGTGGAATTTGTGGCTGTGATTGGTTGCTTGGTTCTATAATGAAGGAAATAAGTTGCTTTATGTAAATGTGACAGGGAGTGGGAGTGTTTAGATGTACGAGCATTAAAAAAACAATGTCTATATTTCTAACTCTGCATTTGGTTTTTCGACATTTATACCCCATTCACAGTGGCCTCAAACACCGCGACAGCAGCGGGACTGTCCCGCTGCTGTCGCGGTGTTGTCTTCAGTGTGAAGGCTCGGACCCGTTATAAACTATCGCGGGATAACACCGCCTCGCGATAACGCCGCGACAAACTATCGCTAGGTTCGCCTAGCTACAGCAGCGGGACAGTCCCGCTGCTGTCGCGGTGTTTACTCAGTGTGAAGGCTCTCCGCTATATCACCGCGACAAACACGTGTGATTTGTTTACTTACCTATCACTGACCTCTTTTCTCCAGCAATGGGGAACATAAAGTGAAATAGAAATAAAGTAACCAGTGGATTCAAATTGATTTTATTATTATGTAGATATTATAATTATCCGAATAAAATATTTCACACTTCAAAAAAAAGGAAGAGTGTGTAAAGTACAGCTAGCGCGCGCAATTTCAAGCAATCGAAAACCCCGCGCTGAAGTATTTCCGGTCATATCGGGGTCACTCGCGGGTCATGAGCCATGCATACACGTGTTTGTTACGGAGGTAATAAAAATCACCCGCTGCAGCGTGAATGGGTACATGATATTTATCCCGCTGCTGCAGCGGGATAACTTTTCTACTGTGAATGCATTTGTAGCGGTGTTATGGCGGTGTCGCCGCTCCGCTACAACGCCGCTACAAATTTCAAAACCACTGCGAATGGGGTATAAGATTCATATTGATTTGTCGTTCTAACCTTCATTTGCTTATAATACATTATATGCTATATGCAGATGCCTTTACTTTTGTTGAAAATGTAGATTCATTATTGCATGCAGCCATTGTTCAAGTTTTTCACACATGTAGAAATGCATGATATTGCCTTGTTGTTCATGCTATAAATTGTCATTTTATTTTGTTAACCCATTAGTCTTGTTCATACACCTAACTGTGTTTAGCATATGCTTGTTGACATAAACCATAATTGTTTCATATTATTTAACCTTCTAACTGTTTAATATCTTCTTGTACTAATCCATGCCATAACCCGTTTATGAGTCTGGATTAATTTTATTGTAACATTTTTCGCTGTATTTGATTCCTTCATTTTTATTGTATCGTTGCATGTTTAGATATTATATTGTATGCATCAAAAGTAAAAACTATGGATATTGTGCAAAAAATCTTCCTGTGGGTACCATTGGATCTATACTTTTTTAATGAAATTATATCAAAACCTCTATTTCAGCAAGGTGAGAAATTTGTCTAAATCATACTGCACTCGCTTCTATCTTCTGCTTCAAGAATATTTATATCCTTATTCAAAGAGCTGTACTCACTATGAACATGATGGACAAAGAAAGCGGACAAAATATACAGTTCCTCATTCTACCCTCAACAATTGCTGTGGTAGACAAAGGAACATCCCTTCACTTCTATTATATAAACATGTGTAGAACAGGTGAATATGCATATTCACCTGTTCTACACATTTTGACATGTAACAGCAGTGAAGGGATGTTCCTTTGTCTACCACAGCAATTGTTGAGGGTAGAATGATGAACTGTATATTTTGTCTGCTTTCTTAATTGTCCATCATGTTTATAGTGACTTCTCCATAGATCTGTTAGGATTCGGGGCTTTCATCAAATTCTATAGAGTGACTTACATAATTAACCGTATGAAACTATTATCTCTTGCCATCTTTAAATCTACTCTGCATGTCTGCTGATATATTTCAGTGTATTGTTCTCTATTTATCGTGCTCCTTCATCGTTTTCTTTCTCCATTTGCTCTTCATTTCAGGGTCTCCTTGCAAAGAACTGTTGACTTCGGCCATCTTTTCATGCGTATTTATATGCATGTAGCTCATCATGTGATGTTCACTTTGTCTCTGAATACTATCAATCCATCCAGCCTCAAGAAAACTTTACTCAGATATATATACTCCTCATCACCTTGTATTTGTTGTCTCATGTATCAGCATTATAGGGTGCGTTTATAGTACATTTTTTTGCCTAGAATCAGCGTTTTCAAACGTCTTTATGGCAAATTTTTAAGGTGAAAAACGCAAAGCCTTTTTCAAACGTCTTTAGATATGGGTATATTGAAACGCCCCCCCCCCCCCCCCAAAAAAAAAGATATATATATATATAATAATAATAATAATAAAGTCAAACCTGCTTTAGTGACCACCCGTCTACAAAGACCACATTTTTTGTTTCTTTGAAAGTGTTTTCTCATTGAAACATGTACTAATGGAACATGTCAACAAAGACCACTTTTTGTGTTTTCCTTGGGCGGTCTTTATAGACAGGTTTCACTGTATCTGCATCATAGTATGGTCCATCAAATGCTCTCCTGCGATACATGCTCCGGGGATTATTTTGTTGTACGGTGGTGTTTCTACAGGGTTTCATAATACAGTCAAACCTGCTTTAGTGACCACCTGTCTACAAGACCACATTTTTTGTTTACCTTGAAAATGGTTTCTCATTGAAACATATACTAAAAGAACCTGTCAACAAAGACCACCTGTCTACGAAGACCACTTTTTGTGTTTCCCTCGGGGGGGGGGGGGGGTCGCTATAGACAGGTTTGACTGTACCATTCTTTCTGGGTCTACTACTTTAGGTGGAAGCTTCTGTAGAAACACACCATAATCCGATTAAAGCGTACCTATCTCCGGAGGCGGATCTTTCCAGGTACACTCGCTATCTAGTTTCTTTAGGGATGTTTCCATCAATCTTAACACTCATGGTTATATTTTGTGTGCAACGCCTACATTCTAAACATCCATTGTACGCATTAAATTCTGTTGGCTGAGCGAAAAAATGGTTTATTGTACTTCTGTAGAAACAGACTCATTATATTCAGATAGGGGTTGACTTTCTGGGCCTCCTGTAGAATCACGCAGAAAGACGTAGGGTTAGGGTTAGATCTGGGGGGCGTTTCAAAAACTTGTCATCAGTGACAAATGACAGTTTTTGTTATAAGCTACTGAAATCCTTGCTTCTGAAATGGTTATCAGCAGATTTGTCACTGATTTTTGTGATTGAAAAAAGGCTTTGTGAAACGGGGCCCCTGGTGTTTGGTCCAGGGTTGAAGGTAGTAATTCTCTTAATAGTGTGGTATCAAATCTGACTGTGGAGCAATTGTTGCTGGAGCAAGTTTCATACAACCCTACCATGAACAATCTTAGAGAACTATTACTGGGAGAGATGTAAGTATTAAGTTTGGGATTTCATCGGTGTAGTCATATGATTGCAGAGCAATCATTGCCGGAGCAAGTGTTGTACAACAGTACCAGAGACAAATGCTAGAACTGCTAGTGTCTCTGGTACTGTTGTACAACACTTGCTCTGGCAACGATTGCTCTGCAGTCATATGACTAAACCGATGAAATCCCAAGTTTCATACAACCCTACCATAAACAATCTTAGAGAACTATTACTGAGAGAGATGTAAGTATTAAGTTTGGGATTTCATCGGTGTAGTCATATGACTGCAGAGCAATTGTCGCCAGAGCTAGTATCATACAACCGAACTAGAGACAAATACTAGAACTGCTAGTGAGAGATGTAGGAGCAAACATCATTTTCAACCTGTGGGACTACATGTAGGTTTTCTCTAGTTTGCTTTGTGTGGTGATAAATATTACCAATACTTTTTTAACAATCACGTATTCATCAATATCATTGCCATACACATGCAACTCTTCACTTGTCTTGCAGAATGTTTTTTAGTGGTTTATTAAGATTTCCTTTGAGTACGGTATGCCATTCTGTTACCCAAATGACAATGCTTTTATCTCATTTTAGTGCTTTTTTATTTGGATTATTCAATAGCCTGAATCTACAATGTTGCGTTTCTTTCTGCATACGTATCTATGCTGTTAGTAAGCACATGTCAACAAAATTATATTTCATTTGTTTCCTTTTGTTGTTATCCCTTGCTATAATATGCATAAGAGGAATTAATGGGAGCCTCAATTGCTTCTTTATGCTGATATTGATAGGCCCATATTCAACTAGAATTTAACCTCGATTTAGGGTTTAGGCTTCTGTTCAAAATATGGGTCAAGGAGGTTGGAGTGAGTTCAACGTTATTTTGTTGATCGTGAATCTAGAGGCAGGGTAGGGTTAAATGAATGAGTAAAATACAGACCATAGTGTTTGGCAGTGTGAGAAATACTTCTACATGTTCCATGTGGGACCTTGATATACCTTGAATATATCCTATCTTTGGAACCAAAAGGGTGTTACCTATACTTAAACACAGAATTAAAGGGAAGTCCACCCAGACACGAAGTTGGTTGTAATAAAAGCAGAAAGTAAGAGAAACAAATCAGTGAATATTTGAACAAAATCTGATTAGGAAAAGAACAGTTATTATTTTTTGAAGTTGTCATTACTGAAACACAAATTGGCAACACTGTGACATTTCATGCAATCTCCTCTCCAATTTGCTCTAAATAGCAAATTTCATAAACTTTTGTTTTCTTGGCTATTTATGATGGAATAAGTTTGTTCTACATACAGGAGTTGTATAAAAACATTTGCAATAATTATATAAATTCATAACTTTTTTTAATTGTTAATAGATTTTTTGCTCAATCTTCCACTGACCTGTTTTCTCTCATTTTCTGTAGTGGACTTCCCTTTAATGCTCTTCTGTCTCGAAACAGACGATATATTGGACATTGATTATTATAATCAAACTCAAAGTGGTTTCAAGTCAGAATGTTAAAAATATAGTTGTGTCTGCATCGAGTGCAAAAAACAACTAACTGTATTAATCAACAACTAATTATTTTTGTATAAACATTTGTATTTTGCATTAAGGAACACTAGATAATTCAGGTATTAAAGGGGGTGTAGCCTGGCAAATACAGGTTAACGCCATCTACGACTTCTTTTGGACAACTGCACGTAAACAAATGGACTTGATTAACGGCCAGCGCGCTTGCGTTCGTGAATCAGACCAAAGTTTTTCTCACGCTTCGGTTTCGTGTATGTTGCATGTACGTGAATATTCGGTTGCGTCGTGCGTAGTCGTATTATACCCGATTGTCCCCGAGTCAGGCCACGGGGAGGACACGTAGTCTTGTCATGTTACACCCCCAGATAATTGTTGAAAGCTGGGCTCTGTAAGGAGAGTTCTAAATAGGCAAATCTAATTGGTTTGCTGCTGCTTAGATGTTATGTACGGGCATCACTAATCTGTAAAAAAACAAAAGTAACTAAACAACTAAAATATGTATTATCATCAAATTGCATGATTTAATTGAAGAAAAAAAAAATCAATATTTTTCATATTGTCCTTAATTTGTTTAGCATTTCATTTTAGATTTTAGATTGTTGGCACACATCTGCCACTTTGAACTACATTTTTACTAGATTTTGTGCATAAAATTAGACACATCTTCAGAATATTTTTTTTCCTAATCATGGAGAAAATAATTGCAAATGTGGTATGCATGTAGTTGTGTATGATTTTGCTGATGTATGTATTTTAGTACAATTTTTGGATGTATGAATTAACCTGTATATAGATTTTATTACGCTGCAAGATACAGTACATAGTTCTCTTATGCAATGATAACCCATTATCATGCTATTACTAGATTCAGTATAAACTTTTTTTTCATAAATCTAGGAGTGTAAGCAACGTGATTGACTACATACAGTGTATCATCACTTTACCATACATTTGTTTTACCGACCATGTTAAACGTTTGGATATTGCTAGGTCTGTAATGGTTTGATGTTCCTTATGGTACCAAGTATAATGGAGTTCGATTGGAGCATAAATCCCTTCTTATCTTAGAAAGGTGAATTGCCGTTTGGTCTACGACCGGTTCGTCTACTACCCAATTGGTCTATTCCCATATGGTCTACACTAGACCGTCTACTACCCAACTGGTTTATTCCCATATGGTCTACACTAGACCGTCTACTATCTACATGGTCTAATAATCATTTCGTCTACTTATCATTTGGTCCAATTACCATTTAGGCCAATAGTCATTTGGTCCAATTTCCATTTGGTCTAATCTCCAATTACTCTTCTATCCATTTGGTCTAATAACCAGCTAGTCTACTTCCAGCTAGTCTACTTCCCAGTTTGTCTAATGCCCATTCCATTTCGTCTACCATCCATAATGTGTATTATGCAACACCTACGTGGATCCTTGTCATTTGATTGGAGGATTGTTGGTCACATGATATTCAAAAGATGTTCTATTGCACGGGCGTGCATTTTTGGTTATATGCAGACTGCGTACCTCTCTGCCGTGCGCGTATCCCTGCGTGTATCTGACACAAAAGCATGTAATCGAGAAGGCTTGACTCCAACTTTAATTTATCTTTAATATAAGGTGTAAAGCATAATTTGTTGATTAACGTTCTATTAGATCTTCTTCGATGTTGTATAAAACAAATAATGAATGTTTTTCATTCGTTCATTAGTGCGAATAGTTTCATTCGTTGAAAGATTAACGTTAATTCTATTCAACTCGGCTGATGCCTCGTTGAATAGAATCTTAATCATTCAACTCATGAAAATATTCGCACTATTGAACTCATAACCATTCATTATTTGTATAATAATCAACTGGTGATGATTATTAGACCATATTGATAGTAGACAAAATGCGCATTGGGAAACCTGGCAATCAGACCAACTAGAAATTAGACTAAACGAGCAATACACTAAATGGGTAGTAGATTTCTTGCAGATTAGACCAAATGACTATTGGCCTAAATGGCAATGAGACCAAATGATGAATAGACAAAGTGATTATCAGACCATATGGATAGTAGACAGGCTGAGTGAATACATCTACTCAATGTATTAATAACAAGTAAATGTGGTTATACTCAATGGAGGAAAAAGAATAACTGTATAACGTAGTAAGAGTAAAACTAATGTAGTAAGAGTAAAACTAACGTAGTAAGAGTAAAACTAATGTAGTAAGAGTAAAACTAACGTAGTAAGAGTAAAACTAATGTAGTAAGAGTAAAACTAATGTAGTAAGAGTAAAACTAATTTAGTAAGAGTAAAACTAATGTAGTAAGAGTAAAACTAATGTAGTAAGAGTAAAACTAATGTAGTAAGAGTAAAAC